GGCACAAATTTTTGTGCACTGGGCTTTTAGTCTTAAATAAGTATTTTAAGAACCAAAATATGAAGTGTTTATTATCACAAGTTATTTAACTAGAAATAAATTTTTCTTTAAAATTCAGGGAAAACTATTCTTAATGTATAAAATGAAGCCATTTCTATCTATAGGCTGTGCTATATTTATTAAGATCACAGCTTTGAATGGGATTAAATTCAGATTCTGCAGTTTCTGGCAATGACTCCTGGAAAACACTCTTTATTAGTTTCCTCATCTATGGAGGTACAGAAGGTACAGGAGAAAAGCTATGTAATGACCTAATATTTGCTAAACTTGGTTATTGCTTGACTACTAACAAAGCTTGCCAGAGAGATGTTTTCCTTCAGGGCTAGAAGGTAAAGATAAGAAAACCACCCCAGACCAGAGGACTCTTTGACAGGATGAACTTTTAAAATTATACCCTCACTAAAGGACCGGTACATGAAATTTGTTTGCTGGGGGTGGGGGGGGGGCCTCCAACTGCTCTCCCCTGCTGGCCTGATCTCCCACAACTGCCCTCCCATGCCGGCCATCTTGTGGGGGGGCTGTGACAGTCAATTTGCATATTACCTCTTTATTATATAGGATTAGAATATTAAAATCTCTGATCAAGGTGGAGCTTACATACTGTCTTCTACACAGGCAATGTCCACTTCTACATGTCCACTTCTGCTCATGTTCACCCAAAATATACCTTAAAATGTGAAGATGTAAGCAACTATCCCTGTAATACCATGTGGTTTTTTGTTCTGGGGAGGCACTGCTCAGGAAATAATCCTCAGTGCACTCCTTGTTCGCTGGCTTGCAATAAAGTTCCTATTAACACAATCAACTTGGAGTGTTCTTTTGGTTAACACCTACCAAGCGGCCTGACCTGTTTCAGTAACAAGAGGAACATTGCCTAATCAACAAGATTATATGAAGGTCAAATAAAAGAACATATGTGGAAGCACCTGTCCCAGTCTGCAGTTAATAAAAGTTAAAAATATATCAAATTTTACAGCACTGCAGGATTTACAGGTTACAAAATGCTAGATATACATTATACATAAAGTAAAATACAAATCTCAGCCTGCCTACTCTTTTGTTTGTATTAAATCAAATTATCATAAAATATTTAACTAAATCCTATGATGAATCTGCATCTACTGTAGCAATTAAAATGGTTTCAAAGGGAAAGAATGGATTGTTGACAAGAAGTGCACTAGCTGTTAAATGTATCTGACTCATGCATGTTAACTACCTCAGTATTGTTTTTTTTAAGCCTCTGAAAGTTTTTCTTACATAATTTTTGGTTTCTGAAATAAAGCACATCTTCTACACAGGCAATATATGTATAGCCATGTCCTTCCTCTTCTTTCCTTTTTTAAGCTCTAACCCTTTCTGCCCACAAGCAGGAAGCATACAACCTACTCTGGGCTATGTGCTCAGATCTCTTGCAGTAAGGATTTCAGGAGACTGTAACCCTTTCCTCATTCTCCTGAGGGGAAGATATGGCCTAAAATTCATTCTAAACACTGCTTCTTTTGGAGCTGATGGCTTGGTTAAATATATCTGGCCTCTTTCTTACTCATGCATGAACATAACTTTAATATATTTCCTTTCAGATAAAATGGAAAAAGATGTGAAGGAAACTCTTGCCAATCATTTCTGTAGACTTCAGCCCAATTATTTTGCCCATTTTCCAATATAATACACAGGCTTGGGCAAAAGTAGTTTATAGTTGTGAGTACACAAAACACAGAATTTACTTTTGTATTATTAATGAATTATTCTATTATTTTCCATAGGAGAACTGTAAAACTACTTTTGCCCCACCCTATATTTTCTTGACAGATAATGGGGTAAGACTTGATTTAAGATTTATAAAATTTAAGAAAAAAGGAATCAATTTGGAACTTTATCAAAAAGTTATTAAAACAAACGTTTGTTTTTTTGACAGTGGAATGTATATTATATGGTTTGCCATTATTTTCTCTCTAGAAAGAAAGGTAAAATGAGGTACACAGTATATAAGTTATTATAAGCTCAGGAGATTTTTTTTAAACACTTAAGAGACATGAGTTAGAAAAAGTACAATCAAACCAACTGTAAAAGTCAATTGTTTTTATTTTTTATAAAAGGCCTTATTTGTTAGAATATACACTAAAGTATTATAAGTGAAATGGTTTGTGTGGAAAATATTTTAAAAGATTCTAGCTTTAAAAAGGTGTGTGTGTGTGTGTGTGTGTGTGTGTGTGTTGTAGTGGTGGGGAAAATAGGGTAAATAGATAATATAACAGACCAGAGTATTCTAATACTGGCTGTTGATATATATAATAAACAAAATAATGGAATTTCATGTCTCTATACAAGTGGCACCTGGTGTAATACAATATACAAATTTTTTTGCAAGGAAAATATCTTCTGCAGAAGGGTATGTACTAAGACAGACTCTGGCAGCGTGTACACTGAGCAGGCAGTCTGCTCAAGGTTTTATGCCTGATGAACATCATCTGTCCCTCACTCTTGATTGGTCAGAACTAAGCTCACATTCTTGCACAATTGGCTAATTTAAAGGACAAAGGGAGGAGTTGACCTTTGCTGTTTCAAAATGGGGAGCTGCCAAACTTCCCTCTTTGACAGAAAAGATTGTTTATTCTTACAATTCCCCCCTTTTCTTATTTAACTCTTCTTTAAACTCGGCTAACACTCGCTGTCTTTAATGTTTTGCAGTGTCAGGAGAAGGAGATTATTTTGCTGTTTGGTCAATGCGGTTTCAATTAACCTCTGGATATGACCTCTCATACATGGGATGATATAACATCCCATGACTGTGACTCCTAACACAATTATCAAAGAAGTGAATATGGATACCATCATTCCCGCCCACTTTCTGAACCATTGCTCTAGTAAATCGGAGAAAGGATCCTCAATTCCAGAATTCTCAGCTCACTCATCAGCTAAAGTTGTTCATCCCTGTAGGGCCTTAGTAATGGTTCCGTCTGGAGCTGTGCTGTCAGGGTTGAATGTACAACACTGCCCCCCAACATTACACAAACTCCTTTTTCTGCCAGAATCATATCCGAGGTCATCCTGCTGGTGGCATCTAGTTGTTCAGCTATAACTTTAACTACATCTTGAGTATAGTTAACAATCCTTTGCTGGTTATAGTAAATGTAATTAATCCATTCCACATGCTTGTTTACCGTGGACCAGTCCTGTCCTGATTCAAACCCTGCCGCAATATGATTTCTAGCTTTAAACTCATTTTGGAACCCTAATGGAATCTATGTAAATATGGAGATCAAAGGAGACCCCTGGACTCTCTCTCTTCTTCCTAGTCTACTGAAAAAACTTTACAATATGCCAAAGTGAAAGGGATAGCCAATTGTATCAGATCACATGTTCTACTCCAAGTGCTGGGAAAGGTCACAAGTAATGGTCCCCCATACCACCACCAGATATCAACACAGGGTATCGCAGTGCAGAATGATTGGCTTCTGAGGATACTCGGCCATTTATACATCTGGATAAATTTCCCATAAACTCTGAGTACTGTTCTCCCACCTTGAGAGGCAGGAGGTATAGTTTATGTCACAGGACAGGGGCCAGATTGTTTTGGGTGGTGGTGGTGGGGTCCTTGCTCTTTACCTCTGTTGGATGGGAGCAACAGGGAGAGAGTCTTACAGGAAGTGTTTCCCCCAGGCGATTTCCTCCTGATACAAGGCAAGCATACATTCCATCCCGTTACTGTCTCAGGTCTATCCACTTGGGCCTCTAGCCTTCCTGCCGCACAAGCGTAAACAGTCACTTTTATTTAGGGAGTGTACAGAATATTTAATGCACTCCACCCAGGCATTCATTCCCTTATGTCCTACTTCTATTTGCATGGTGGTGGCATTGGCCTAGGGAATCTTGTCCTGTGACATCTACTCCTAAATCTAGTCCTAGCCAATCTTTTGGTCTAAAGGCTGAGATAGCCAAGTCATTCAAGTTATCTATAATCAATAACTTAACTGGGTAAGCATGATCCGGATTGTACACATTTCCCCAGCCCACATTGTAAGCCCTACAATTTGCCAGAGCCTAAAGCAAATAGACAGCTTACAGTTTCTTTAGCATTAATTTCAAGGGGCTATGTCCTGGTATGGCTGTCCACGTTGAGGTGTTTCCACCCGGAGAAGCTGGTGGTCCGCCCTTAACCCATGTGTGATGGGTCCAAACTCATTCTGCAGTCCGAACAGCAGTCTCAGTGGTAAGGAAGATGAGGTAGGGTCCTTCCCAGGATGGTTCCAACTTGTTTCCCTTCCAATTCTTGATTAAAATAAACGTAGTCTCCTGCTCCATGATGATGAGCTGGTAACTCAAGAGGAGGGCCTTGGGCCAGGACGCCTTCTTAACCAACAGAGTCTGGCAGCACGTACCAATATACAGATTTTTAAAAAAGTATTTAGGCTATCCATTGCTAATCATAGCTGTGACTTATGAATCTAGCATGGAAATGTTAGAGGGGTATAAGGATCTTTTGGTATGACAGGATCTCTTGCAACTCAGAGAAAGGTAGAGGGGAAGGCGATAGAGTGGTAGCATATTCTATGTTAGAAATAATATATTATGAAAACAGGAGATGACTTTTTAATCAAAGACTCTTCCTATGCCAGACTGGAAGTCACCACATATTCCCCTCATACTCCATTTCTGTGGTATGGCACATCACCAGAAACTCTTGATGGAATTAAATCCTCAATATTCAAAATGCTCATATCCATTGTAGGTCCAATCCTTAAAAAGAAAATATTCTTTATGCTGAATGCATTTTTATGCACTCTAGAAAAATCGACATATTTCAGTAAGATTTAAGTAGGAGTACAAGTGAATTAAACCATTCAGATAAAAATGCAACTAAAGCTGCATTTGCTGCTTTGATGACTCAGGAACATTTATATATGATTTAGTGTAATACTCCATCCACATAAAAAAGGCACTCTATTTCTTTATTTTTTTATTTGACAAGCAGCAATATCATGTTTGTCATTTTAATGTAGATACAATTATTAGGTTATCTGTCATATTACGATATTTAAGTTTTTTATTTTATGTCCTTTAAGATACATTTAAAAAAAAAAAACACACATCAACTGCAAACGTGAAGGGGAGAAAAAGCATGGTACCCAACCAAATTTCCACATTTCAGCAATACTTCACTCATTCTTTAATAAAGGTTTAAGAAATGTCATAATGACATGAGCTTGAAATATCTCTAGGCATTTTCTCTGACGCTCATGACGTGGCACTGGTGATGTTGTAAACAGCAGAAAAACAGGGGCTGCCAAATGACCAAATTATGGAGGCATAGGCCTGCTCTTTTCCCCACAGGAACACACCAAATGGTGATGGCAATGATCTTCTCACACTCACACAGAGGAGAGCAACATCATGCTACGTAACTGTATTCATCTGCTGAAGCCTGGCTGCGTTCAATGTACTGTTTGTCTATCAGCACTTCAATACACTTCTTAATCATGCTGATACTAGGGTTAAACCTAGCTCTTGACTGGCTAATCACCTGTAAGAGAGACATGGGTGTCAAACTACTGCCAATTAATCAGTCATAAATAATTACTTTTAACCAATCAGCTATAAAAGTTTCTCAGTTTTATTGAGGTTCCATCAGGATATCTAAGCCATATAGAAAAATATACTTAAAATAATTATGAAATTATATTAAACAGAATAAAATCATCTTAAATGGATACACATGATATATCAAGTAAGCGAGTGCCATAACAATATTAAAAATTTTAAACTCAGAGAGCAGTGCATAAGGAGACGGAGAATTAGATCAATTCTGACATGTCCAAAAATAATAATTTATGCAAAGTAAGGAAAAAGCCTAATGTTTATGTTGTGAAGAAATTAAAATGCAAAACATATATATAGCAAAATCTAATATTCATACATAAATAAATTAAACTATCAACTAATTAATCTATCTAAATACCCATACCCTTAAGCTTCCCTTATTCAACTTTCAGCTTTTAGCTGAAGTAACACTTCAAGATTTTTATGTACATTCTCACAGTATTGTATAACTTTTTTCAGTGCATGTTACTGTAATTTTATATTGCATACTAGAGGCCCAGTGCATGGATTCATGCACTGGTGGGGTCCCTCAGGCTGGCCTGTGCCCTCTCGCAATCCAGGACCCCTTGGGGGATGTCAGACTGCCAGTTTCGGCCTGATCTCCGCAGGCCAGGCTGAGGGACCCCACTGGTGCACAAATCTGTGCACTAGGCCTCTAGTATGCATATAAGATCTTTGGTTAATCTCTTCTCACCCTCTCCTCTCCCCACTTTCCTCTGAGATTCATCAGTCTGTTCCATGTTTCCATGCCTGTGCGTTGAGCATCTGCCCCCTGGTGGTCAGTGCACGACATAGCTACCAGTTGAGTGGTCGGGTGGTCGCTTAGGCTTTTATATATATAGATTATTTCAATAATGTATTTCTTCCCTATTATACTGTGAACTACAAAAGGGCAGGAACCACATTTTGCTTTGTTCTGCATTAAACTCCCAACAGCAAACACAGTGCTATCGCATCATAGACACTCAATATACTTATGGAATGAGTCTTTGATGTGGTCAACTTCCTCCAATAACTGGAGAAAAGACTCAGTAAACTGGTGAAGTTTATACCTCTGAACTCAAGCTAAAGCAAATCTGAACTTAATTCTGAAATTAAAAGTGGGTACTGTTCCCATTATGTAATGAAGCATATCTTTATTCTATTTGCGAATCACTGGATTTCTGTAATCATCTTTACAAAGAAACATTATTCATCTGTACATTGGTAATACTCTCTACCCCAAGAAGTTTTGAAGACTTTTCCCTCTTTTACCTCTTGAATAAGGGCATTATGCCGAAGTACTTTTCGTGCTTTCATGATACGAACTATAGCAGCTTGGAGATACATTTTCCGGTCCTCATCTACAGCACTTCTAGTTTGTTCCATTTCCTGTTTACAGGTAGGAAAAAGTAAATGAGACAGTAAATCATAATTGTTCTGAATTCATTTTATCAGTGAATTTAAATAAATTTCTAATCAATACCGAGCATTGGGTAGAGGAGGGTAACAGTGGTCGGTGAACTGCGGCTTGTGAGTCACATGTAGCTCTTTGGCCTCTTGAGTGTGGCTCTTCCACAAAATACCAACTTCTACGCATGGGCCACGAAGTTTCAATCACACTGTACGTGCGCGCCCGCACATGGTATTTTGTGGAAGGGCCACACTCAAGGGGCCAAAGGGCCGCATGTGGCTTGCGAGCTGCAGTTTGCAGACCACTGGTATAGGAGAATAAATAATGATAAACAGAGACTTGACTTAGAACTTAAATGACATAGAACAGTAATTTTCAAGAATGCTGTCCTTTCAGTGAGTACAGACACTATACCACAATGCTTTTAGATGCTTCAGTAAATGGCTCCAAGTGCATACTGGATTGGGCTTCAAGGGGAAGAACTGTGGAGGGTTCTATTTGGCTTAAGCAGAGAAGCCAGAAAGGATGGGCTAAAAAGGGCATAAATCATACAGCTCAAGGTAACAGTAGAAGCAAGGCATAGAAGTAGGCAATGCCACATTAATAGGGATCTCATAACGGCTTTTAACAGATAAAAATATAACCCATATCTTACAAATTATCATACATTAGTCTGAAGGAAAATAGAACATTGAACATTTTAGGGTTCAAATTTAATAGCAATTCATTAACATTTGTTTCCCCATGGGGAAGTTCCTGAAGTGGGCCTGACATCATATATACCTTCACATCCTGCCCCAAGCCCAACGATATAGGTAGCAATTAGGAAGCGTAAGTGATGTGAACAGGCTATCCCAGAAATAAGCAATAATCACTGCTGAGTTAAAGAAATCAACAGTACACATGCAAACTGGCTTATCTGGTAGTCTGGACTCCACTCCACACCTCATAGATCACAATTTGAGTTCTGACAAGATTCCCAGGTGGTTCATTTACACATGAAACTTTGAGAAGCATTTTTAACAATTTTCCTTTGAAAGAAATTAGTTGTAAAACTTTCCCTTATTTTACAAATGAAAAATCTAAGAGATTATATTACTATTCAAGATAGGAATTTTTAGAAAGATGCAAAGCAGAGCAATACATTTAGTTTAAGAGCAATGCAGCACACTTTTCCTTAGGTACCCATTATACCACTGTTTTTAAAATCTAAACTACTAGCAGAGATTTTGTTTATAAGGTTAGTAAATGCAAAGAATATGCCAAAAAAGATATATCATATTATTAATTTTGATGTGCAGAGTTTTGCATCATTTCTCATTGTTACTCTACTTGCAAAGTACAATGCTTTAATATTTCCAAAAGAAATGACATAGAAAAGCTCTTACCTGTGGTGTGTCTTTCTGCATTGATGTAGTAATTTTAAATTTTGTTCTTTTACTGCTGAAGTTCATATTTAATGAAAATGAAGATTCTGCATCAATATCTTCCTACAATTACAAATAATTCACTTATATTTATAAAAACATAAAACCATTACATAAGAGTTGCTGCAAACAATATGCTATGAAATAACCAAGAAAAAACATCCTAAATTCTCATAATCTTTTACATTATAAAGATTATTTGAGAGAAAAATGATTGTCTTCTTTCAATCAAAGAAGTAAAAAACAATTCTTTTCTAATTTTACACTTGATAGAATTTTAATCAATTTAGATTAAATAAGTAAGCAAATTTCTGGCCTATTATATATATTACCTTTGGATAAGACAAAGAGTCAAGCTCACTGGCTTAAACAGAACTTGACATTTTAATTTTTATGAAATGTCGACTCATAATTTTCCCATCACCCCATTTTGAAAAACTGAACAACCAAATGTTTTTTTTTTTTTAAATATATTTTATTGATTTTTTACAGAGAGGAAGGGAGAGAGATAGAGAGTTAGAAACATCGATGAGAGAGAAACATCGATTAGCTGCCTCCTGCACATCTCCCACTGGGGATGTGCCCGCAACCCAGGTACATGCCCTTGACCGGAATCGAACCTGGGACCCCCCAGTCCGCAGGCCGACGCTCTATCCACTGAGCCAAACCGGTTTCGGCCAACCAAATGTTTTTTTAAGTGCTGCAATAACAAAACCAATTATAAGTTACCTGACTATAAAAGCAAGCTGTTTCCAGTGGCACACAAGTATCATTTCTCCATGACCCTGGTGTGATTCTGCCAAGAGTCTGCTCTTCAATTCATGTTTTATTCACTCTGCCAGAAGCAAGTGGCCTTTCCTCAAGTGAAAGTTTTTAAGGCAACTTTTAGAATCACAACTTTTCTATCAGGCTTAAGAAAGCCACTCATATCATATACTGAAATTTCTCTATCAGCAGGATCAAGAAGCACTTAAGTAGGCCCTGGCTGGTGTGGGTCAGTGGTTAGAGCTTTGACCTTCACACTGAAGGGTGGAGGGTTCAATTCCTGTCAAAGACATGTGCTTGGGTTGCAAGTTCTATCCCTGGTCGGGGTACATGTGGAGGCAACCAAGTGATGTTGATGTCTCTTTCTCTCTCCCCTCCTGCCTTCCCTCCCTTCCACTCTCTCTGAAAATCAATGGAGAAGATATCCTTGGATGTGGACTAACAACAACAAAAAAAGAAGCACTTGGTATGGTAGATAGACTCAGTTTCAATAATAAATTAAGAAATTCTAAGAAACCAGCAGATTCATAATTGAAATTTAATGTGCAATCTATATTTATTTTGTATATTTTTGGGCAGTGAAAATAACACATTTAAAAATATATATATAACTTCTAACTTCAGCAATTAAGCTTAAAATTTTTTAACTTAAAATAAGTTTATTGTTTTAAGTCATAATTAATTTCTGTATTTAAAATCTTAATATTAAGAATTTTAACATTTAAAGATTCTGAAGTAAAAAAATTTAATCACTTCTCAAAATTAAGAAAAGCCTTTGAAAGATTTGAATTTCAGAATATATGTAATTTAGAACTGTTCAACTATAGGATATAAAATGTTATCATAATCTTAGAGATGTTGGCAAAATGAATTGATGAGAGAAGTTGTAGGCTATTAACTTTACCAAAATAAAAATGAAATACCATCTATAAGAATTTTTTTCTTATAGGTACAATAATTTGAAGTAGGAGATTTAACCCACATCAGTTGCTTTTTAAAAACCATTTAATTATCCAAGATATCTATAATAATAAAAGGGCAATATGCTATTTAGACTAGATGTCCTCTCGGACATCACTCCAGACATCCTTCCAGACGAAGCTGGGGCCAGAGTGAAGCCTGGGTCCTGGGTGCCTGCCAGTGGCCGGAGAGAAGCAGCCTGGGTCCCGGGTTCCTGCTAGCAGCCAGCCGGAGCGAAGCCGGTGCTGGCCGCTGGGGGAAGGAAGGCCTACTCTTGCATGAATTTTCATGTATCAGGCCTCTAGTATTATAATAACAAAAACTTACTACTGTAAAGAAAAGTTATAAAGAAAGAGGAATATACTATTGGCTTGCTAGTCTCATGATAGGTATTTTAAAAATATGGAGGTTATTTGAGTTCTGAAATTAAAGGATATGAAAGTGAGTGTGTTTGGGTTCTAGTTACATATGTTAAATATCATACAAATGACATCAATAGGCTGTTATTTCCTACTACAGAACCATACAGTTAAACATTAACCAAAAAAACATGGGGGAAAAAATCTTGGAAAGTTTTAAGATAAGCTACAGTTTTCAAACTCAATCAAAAATTCTCAATGGCAATTTTTTTTCCAATTTTTTAGTACATTGTCATAGTATAGGACAAAGAAAATCAAACTGTAAAGGGCACATAGGCACCAATTTACATAGCCTTCTCTGTGACACCTCAAGTTCACAGTTGTAAGGAACCAGCAGTAATGTAGCTGATTCAAGTGCTTTCCAAAGTACCAAGGGCATTAACAATTATAACCTACTTTCAATACTGTGAACATCCCATGAAAATGCTTTAATGTTTACAACGCTTAAATTCCTTGAGCTTTAAATTCCCATACCTTTTCTGAATCATGGTTAATCATTTTCACATCAAGTAATGATTTGATTGTTTTTGTCAGTTCCTTTTCATTCATCTGTGTGCTGTCTTGAAGCTCTTTATAGCTGACAGTTTCACTGTTGTTGAAGGCTAGAAGAACTGCCATTTGGTATGTTGTAACCATGGCTACATATGGTTTGCCCAAATAATTCATTTTAACTTCACCTACAATTAAAACAAAATTGTGACAATAAACTGGTCATTCAAAGAAACATTTTGAAATTACTTGAATAATAACTGTTTATTTTGGATATTATTCTCCTTTATTAATTTTAAAGCCATTCTTGCTGGCAATATATTTATTTTGTTTGTTTGAGGGATTGGGGGTAGGGCTCTTAGTTTTGAGTATAAATCATGGTTAAGCTATCATACCTTTACCAGCAGGGTTTAAACAATATCTTTAGTCAATGGAAGGCTAACTAAAACTTAGAAAAAAAAACAGTAAGAGGAGGTGGGGATAGGAAAAAAAACCCAAAGCAAAACAGACAAAGGGGAGAGAATGTCAGCTTGCTATCAGCAATGGCTTCATGTGCTGTCTCCATCTGCTCTATTCCAGGGAAGGGTCAAGCCTACAGGGAGGTCTATGAGCACATAGGAAATGCTTATCCTACAGCTTTGATTAAACTATAACTTCTGCCAACATTTTTAAAATTGCATCTTTCTTCCCAGCAATTTTCTAGGGGAAAACAAGAATGGGAGAGATAGACAGATCCTAATTTTATTTAAACAGCTGATAGAAAAACAGTGTGCTAGACTCTACCTTACCCACTAAGAGCTAGTAAATATACAGCAAGTTTAGTTGTACTGCAGTTCTGCAATATCCCAGGGAGAGAGAACACTGAAAAGCTTGCAACAAACTGTATGACCAACATGTATGCATTCTGTAAAATTCAGTAACAGTCAAAAAAGCTAAGGTAAGTCAAAGAACTACTTCCTAAATCATAAAGTTGTGGTACAGTGATTGCATGTTCGTTCTCTCTCTCTCTCTCTCTCTCTCTCTCTCTCTCTCTCTCTCTCACACACACACACACACACACACACACACACACACACACCCCTTGCATTATTTGACTGTCAATGGATTATAAACTAACCCAGCGTGAAAACTGGTTTCAGAACCCTATATTTTAACTCAAGGAAGCTGTATTTCACATAACTGAACCCATATGCATTCCCCATATTAGTAACTCTGATCAAGATTTTGTGCTTCTTTATTCACTATTTAATTAAAGATTTTAAAGAATATAATTTTATTCTCTAATTTATTATCAGAACACACATGCCTATTTTAACTTTTATTATACCTTGACTTATTTAAAAACAAACAAACTGATATTCAGAAATAGTCTTCAAAATGATTTGGGAGGAAAAAAATCCCTAATCTCTGAATTTTCATGAAAGAAAGTTTAATATATTAATTAGAATATTCTATTCACACAAAGAGTTTAAGAAATTATCACTAGGTGTGTACTACTAACAATTAGTATAAAGAGTACATTAAGGGCCCTAACCGGCTTGGCTCAGTGGATAGAGTGTCGGCCTGTGGACTCAAGGGTCCCGGGTGTGATTCCGGTCAAGGGCATGTACCTTGGTTGTAGGCACATCCCCAGTAGGGGGTGTGCAAGAGGCAGCTGATTGATGTTTCTAACTCTCTATCCCTTTCCCTTCCTCTCTGTAAAAAAGTCAATAAAATATATTAAAAAATAAAAAATAAAAAAAAAGAGTATATTAAGGGCTTTCATCTCAACATTTAAGTTTGGAAAATGTGGCAAGGAGCAAAACATCACATAAACTACATTCTATCATTTGCGTGATGACTGCTTAGTCATATACCAGAAACCAATATAAAACAACTAGAGGCCTGGTGCATGATTTTGTGCACAGGTGGGGTCTGGCCAGCCCACCTCGATCTGGGTCAATTGGGCCAGGTTGGCTTGGGGGAGGGGCCGCAGGCAGTAGGCCAGCTGGCCCCGCCACTGGTCGAACTCCTGGTCGAGGGAACAATTTGCATATTAGCTTTTTATTATATAGGATGCAACAAGCACTTCAATGACTAAATGAGACCATCAGCCAGCATGTCCTTGATGTTGTAATATGCTGCCATGGGTTTGGAAATAGAATAGAATAAAGTCTTTTATTATCACTAGAAACAAAACAGCATGAGGAGACAGTGCAAATAAGGAGTCAAAGTGTCACTTATTATCAAGTACAGTCTGCAACTTAAAAAGGGTTCAACTAGTAAGCTTTGTATTATACTTTTTTCTTGCTATTTTTTTCTCTCAATAAATTATCAAGATCAGGGGAATATGGACCTCTTCCCATTTTTCCAGCATCATTCTCTTACTGGTCAGCTCATGGCTGAAAAGACTGGGACCTAAATTTTGTCCTTCAAATTACCTGCTAAATGAAAATGGGAATATATCTTTACAATGGAGCTATCTTTTGGTCACCACCTTAACCAAGTGAGCAACTTTAGTGTCGCTAATAGTGGGACAATCTGATATTACATGTCCTCTGTTGTAATGTAATATTAAGATCAGAAAATCCTTAGTATTCTTGCCAACAATATTTAATCTGAATATAATGAAACTTTTAGACCTAATTTCCACTTCACAGAAAATATAGGGAGTCAGAAAACAAATAAAATACATCACAATTAAGTAATGTGACAAATCCAGAATGCCGGTCTTAAAAAAAGAATGTCCAGAGGGTTAGAGTGGTGGTGGGGGTAAGATGATGGAGAAAGTGTTAGATAAGAAAAGGGTATCAAGGACTGGGCTGTTCTAAATGTTATTACTAAATGTTTTTCTTGCTGAATGTTAAAATATAAACAGGACAAGCTTCACAGGATCTCAATGGTATAAATGTAACTGAAAGGTTTAAAGAGAATAAAACTATAGAACAGAGGGGTCTGTTCTATATGAGACTCCCACTTACTGCTGACCACTGGAAAAGCTGCCTGGCCTGTCCCGACAGCAAAGCATAGTAACCCCTAAACATGTTTTGTTCAGCACTTCAGAAGGTGGTGGAGAGAGTGTTAGATAAGAAAAGGGTATCAAGGTCTGGGCAGTTCTAAACGTTATTACTAAATGTCAGCCCCATTAGGTGCGTTAATTAGTGTTTCTATTCCCATTTTGGGTATAGGGTTGTCAGAAATGTAGTTTCAGTTCTAGTGTACACTTCGCTTCTGGTTGGTTGGACAGGAACTATCTTTGGGATGCCTGATTCAGGGCCCAACTTACATCTAACAATGGAGGGTTGAGGAATGCCTGAGGGGCATATCCAAGACATCCTCGGTGACAATCTCTGGTCTGGTTGCCTGGCAAGCAGGAAATGGATTTTATTCTTTATGTATATATTTGCATTTGCCTTATTTGTCTGATATGTAAATGTGCCAGTATTTTTATGGTAGTCACCCTGGAATTCTGTTACTGGCCTTCTTGGCAAGCTGGGAGTCAGTTATACTGTTACTGGTCAGTGCCAGGTTGTTTGAAAGGTTGAAAATACCTCTTAAGAAAAATAGGAAATATATTAAAAGAACCCAAGGACTGGAAACTGAGCCATCAGGCAAGATATTGCCAGTTCTCGAGGGCCTCTCAGAGAAGACCTCCTTGATTGCTTGCCCCCAGGTGTCCTCAAACTAGGAGAACCCTGCCTCCCTCTCAGGGAGGCCTGCTTCTTTTAGGCTCCCTTTTGCTCTCCCTCCCTACTATCAGCCTCCCAATTCTTTTGGTCCCTCTAATCTGTTAGGAACGCCGTTGAAAACGTTTCCAGAACATAAAATTAATACTCCCACCCTGATCCCTAAGTCCACTACCTGTCAAGGTACTAGTTTTCACCCAGAGGCTAAATTGTGCCCCCTCAGACAGGTTCTGGACAGGGAAGAGGGAATGAATGGTCACTGTACATGTTCCTTTCTCAACATCAGATCTGTATATTGGAAGGGAAATACTAAGGGACTTCAAGCTGATCCAGAGAGGTTTATTAGCTTGATTAGTGGTATATTCATGACCTATAATTCCACTTGGGGAGATATTCAAGCCCTCCTAACCATCTTCCTCACTATTAAGGAAAAAATGACAGTACTGTTAAAAGCCAAGGAAGAGGCTGATAAACATACTTCTCAGTCTAATAATCAAATCTGGCAGCCAGCAGATGAGTTAATTCCCAATACTAATCTTCAGTGCGACTCCAATGACAGAATAAACTGGGCTCACCTTGAGTATTACAGGAACCTATTGCTGAAGGGTATGAAGGACACTGGTTGCTGCCATGCAAATTGGGGCAAAGTTAGAAACATCCAACAAAAGCTAAGAGATAATTCTTAGAAAATTTTAAAAAATGCTTAAGGTAATAATACACCACCCAGGAAGTGAAGCTATCCTGAATACCCACCTCATATCTCAGAGTGCTCCGATACCTATAGAAAGTTATAAAAGATAGCGGTGGGATCTACCATTCCCACCTCCCAATTAATAGAAGCAGCCTTTAGGATTTTCAACAACAGAGATGTGACAGAAAAAAAAAAGGAAGAAGGAAAGATGAAAAAAAACAAGCTGCTTTTCTGGCTGTCACCCTCTAGGCTTTTGGTAATGAGGAGACAAAAGGCAGAAGACCATCTTATGTGAGTAACCCCAGGCCCCACCGTGGGACCAACCAAAGTTGTCCAGCAAAGCTAGAGTCTAACTAATGTGTATATTGCAAACAAAAGAGTCACTGGAAGAAATAATTCCCTAATCGTCCTCAGAGAAGAAAGGGAAACTCCTAATTCTTTGCAGTTACCCCAGATGAAGACTGACTCGGGGTCAGGGGGCTCCCCTTTAGGCTCCAAAGGATAATATTCCAATCTCCCATGAGGATACCTGTGTTACTTTGTTCTTACTAGCCAGGAAGGCCCCCTCTCCAAGAGGGAATGTAATATTAAAGGGGTGTTGAGAAACCCAGACACAAAGAAATTCTTTGAGACTCTGACATGTGAAATAGGGTCCCATTCTTTTCTCTATGTACGTGAGTGTCCAGTTCCCCTCTAAGGAAGGAACCTACTAAGTAAATTGGAGGCTACCATACACTTAACCAAGATAAAGTTAAAGCACCTAATTCCCAATGATAGCGGAAAAGATTTCATGGTCCTACTCCACTGGGTCTCAAAAGGTCAAAGACCTATACCCACAGAGATTCTTGACCAGGTTATTCCAGCTATTCAGGCACAAGGAGAATTTGAAGGGCAAAGAATGCCCTACCTTTTAAAGTAGTAATCAAACAGTAGACCACTGGCCCTGCGTTAAACAATAATCCTTGAAACATGAGGCAAAAATAGGAATTGCCCCTATCCTAAAAGTATTTCTAGAATAGGATTCATTCAGCCTTGTCACTCACCCTGTAACACCCCCATCCTTCCCCTTAAGAAATGGAACCCAGGAGAATATAGATTTGTATAAGGCTTAAGTGCCATGAATGAAGTATATACACCCTACCACTGTTCCTAACCCCTCTACCCTGTTGGCCAATCCCCCAGGACCTAGCGAACACTATATAGTTCTAGATTTAAAGGATGCTTTCTTTTGCATTCTCTTGGACCATGACTCCCAGAAGATTTTTTGCATTTGAATGGTAAGATCCTGACACCCATCCAAGTCCCAGCATTGCTGGACTGTGTTACCACCAGGTTTCAAAAACTCCCCAGCCCTCTTTGGAGAGGCTCTTGTAAAAGATTAAAAATATGACTCTACCACAATATGTAGATGACATTTTAACTACAACACTGCTTTGATAAAGAAACGGCAGAGAGAAACACTATTCAGCAGAAAAAGGACACAAAGTATGCCAAAAAAAAAGGTCCAGATACCTAAATTAGAAGTACCTGGATATTCTTAATTCCCAAGAACAGAGAAACTTACTGCAGAGTTAAAGGCAGTAAGCCAGAGAGTAAAAGGCAGTAACAGCCAGCCTAGCTCCACCATGGAACTAGAGGCAATTGAGATGTTTTCTTGGAATGACAGGATTCTGTAGGCTCTGGATCCCTTGTTCCTCAAGACTACCTTGGAAAATAGTAAAAGAACCCTTGGGGGAGAAACCAAGATGCAGCATAGGTAAATACCTGAAATTGCTGCCTCGCATAACCACTGCAAAAATACAACTAAAAGACAAAACAGATATCATCCAGAACCACAGGAAGGGTGGCTCAGTGGAAATTCTACAACTAGAAGGAAAGAGAAAAGCACACTAAGACTCAGAGGAGGTGTGGAAGTAAAGTGCAGAGGTACGGAGGCGCATGTGGAAAGAGCTGGCAACTGAGGACCAGG